CGCGACCTCTGGGTTTCTTCTTCTTGTCTTGCTTGGCTACCTTTGGAGTTTGCCCTCTCACTTTCCCGGCGCGTGTTTTAAGGTAAGTTGTGCGAAATTTAAAAAAATTTATGACCGTAACACCCACAGTGGCCGCGATGATATCGGTTATATCTACAATTACGGACCGAAAACACATCCGCAAACGCTATCTAAATCCCTAGTTTAAACGCATTTATGTGTGTTATTTCAAGGTGTTTGTTTCTTGTATCGCGAAAGTTTGAATGATTGGTATTATTATGAATAGAGGTTGAGTTTGTAAGGAGAAGATAGTGCCTTTCTGAGATTGCTGTTGTTAGTCTGAGTGTTCTACTGATTTTCATAGGGCGGATATACTCCAAGGGAGATGATGGTTGTTTTGATGGTTCCATGAGTCCAAAGAAGTTTCTTATGTTAGGTATCTCAACGTTTCTTATTGCTTTGGGTTGATGGTTGTCGGGTTGTATTTGTTTGAGTGGTAGCTTTTATCTTGTTGTGTTGTACTCTTTTCCTCAAAATAGATTAGGGAGATTTTTAACGAGTCACGTGTTGATAAATCGGGTAAAGTAAACGAAAGAACACAAGAATTTTAACGAGGTTTGGCAATGTGCTTACGTCCTCAGTGCCTATGCGGCGCTAGAAAATTTTTATTCAATGATAATAGGTTTATGTTACATCTCTATTTATAATAGAAAACTCTGGTACATAATTACAAAATTAACCCTGTACCGTACCGCGGGGCCGTAGCCCCCGCACCCCCAACCCACATAATTGTAACCCCCTCTACAAGACTTTCTTTGTAAGGACAGTTGATGTTCGCTCACTCCGCTCCATCCCTGTCCTCTTTACCGGTATATTTATGAGTCATACCTTACATCACGCAACTAAGATTTTGAGATTTTTTGTTTAATTCTTTAATAAAATTTTATTTGTCGAGAAAAAAAATAAAACTAGCCCAGAAAAAATAAATTTTAGATGGAAGTGGAAACCAAGAACTAACCAGGATTATAGGGTTCGTTATAAGAGTAGCTATGCTAATATATAGTATTTGCTCCTACGGATTTTTGGTAACACTTGCTACAAATACCATGCTTGATTTGCTGATTTGACAAGTTTTAGGCTTTAAACATTGTGGTCTATATTAAATTAATTATTTTTAAATCTAAACTTATATACAACTGATTATAGGTTGGGACTGGAATTACCGATGCTTGGGAAGGGCCTGTCCTAGTGGTCCATTTTTTTGTTTGATAATATTTTATGTTGCTGTCACTTCAATTATTATCAAATATTATGTAAATATTGAAGATGAACAGAAGACAGTGTCGTAATGTAAATAAACAAGGTGGTTTCTAACCTTGAAAACTATTGGCAGAATACATGATAGTGATGATTAAACAGAGCTTATATACCTGCTTTTGTTATGGTAAATGACTGTCAATGGCAATATAGCTTTCCTCTTTAGGTCTAGACTTGCTTCTACTTAATGGAAGATTTATTGGCAATGGCTTGCTGATGCTCTCTAGAGTTTTTCATAATAGTCTGGGATGGTATAGGATAATATAAAATAGTATTTGTTTGATTTTTTTAAATAAAATATCAGTATTATTTGTTATTATTAACATCACTCAATGGATTCAGTAACATTTAAATATTAGAAAAATGATAGAATGGCATTATATAACAATTCTCATAGTTCACTTATACATTTTATCAATCTGGTTTTAATTTAAAACAGTTTAATAAATTTAATATGTCATATTTAAAAATTCTATCATTATAATCTTTTTTTTCTTCTTCTAAATTGATTGTTCTTCTCTCAAAAGTATTATTATTATAAGGATTTAACAAGAGCTTGTAGTTGCTTTATAATAGTATGTAATTGTCTAAATGTTGTTTTGATCCAATAAACTCATTTGATTTAATAGAATGTAAAAAATATAAGGATTAAAATTATTATTATATCAATTAAATTAGATATCTATTTTAATTTTAATGATAAAATAATATATTTATACTAAAATTTAAATTAAGTGATTAAAATGTATAATTTTTAAAGAAAATGAGATATTTAGTATCAAACATATAATTAAGTAATATGAAATGTATTTTACCTAATTTTCAATATAATACTAGGAGCACGTGGATTTAGTTCACGAAGCGCGGGCGGCCCAGCCGTCATGTCATAGTTTGAGGTTGACTTAACTCTCCAGTCTTACAGCCTAATTTTGATGTTTTCATTAATTGATTATCTCTAAATGCAATTGTCGGGACATGTACAGATAATTAATCTATTTCCAAACAAAACTAATATAGGGAAATAATCCAATTAAATACTCGTATTTAGATAAATAGTAAAATGTTTAATACCCTCAAATATAATATGTTAAAAATAAAATTAAAGTAACACAGTTTATTTTGAGAGATATGCTCAAGTTTTATCATTAAAAAAATTAAATTAAATTTAGTTTTGTAATTGAATTATATTTGAAATATTATTTCAATACTTTAATGATAATTTTTTAATTACAACTATGGAAAGTATATTGGGATGATGTAATTATTTAGTTTGAAGGGACGGTGGGTGGTAGCTGCAATGCAAGAAGGAATGAAGTTTAGATTCAATGACCAAATCTGCTGTAATCTTCTACGGTCGGTAAATTTATTTATTTATTTTGAAATAGTATCAAAGTAATATATTCACGCACCTTATAAATGCAACTGTTTCATCTCGAAACTTTTTTAAAACATTAACACTCTTTTTAAATATTAAATTTGTTTGATGAATTTGACAAGTTATTGATTTTAAGTTTGAAGGGACACTCATGTATCATGATAGACATACGCAATAATTTATGTTAAAATGTGTAAATTTCTAAAATTTTAGAAATTAACGAATTTGTAAAATTCTAAAAAGATGAAATATATTTTCAATATAAATACATAAAAAATTGAAATATATAAGAATTTTTTATTTTCAAAGAAGCGATTACCCCATCCGTACACCTCATCCATATGGTGTATTATATTCAAAAAAGAATGATGTACTAAAATCCATATTTAGTAATATAATCATTTTCCATATTTAGTAAAAAAGAATGATGTACTAAAACCCTAACTAAGGGCATCCTCTGTCAATAGTTATAACTGAAGCATTGCTCTTCCATAATTTAACTTTTTAAGGATTTTATAATTTAGTCTTTAAACTTTTTTTATTTATAAATTAGTCCTTTTGGCCTAATATCACAAAGAAAATAATAACTAATTATAGAACAAAAATATGTAAAAAAAAACTTTCTTTACAAAATAGTCATTAAACTCTATATTTTCATTGTAATTTTAGGAGCACGTGGGCTTAGCTCACAAAGCGCGGGCGGTCCAGCCGTAATTAGTTTGAGGTTGACTTGACTTCCAGCCTAACTTCGATGTTCTCTTTAATTATTTATTTCTACATGCAATATTGCAATTGTCGGGACATGTATAGAGAATTAATCTACTTCCCGGGGGGGGGGGGGCATAGAGAATTAATCCAAATAAACACTCATACTTAAATTATTAATAAAATGTGTCATGCCCTCAAATATAATATACTAAAAAAATAAAATTAAAGTAAAAAGGTTATTTTGAGAGATACGTTCAAGTTTTATTATTTGTAAAAAAATTAACTTAATTTTAATTTTATAATTGAAATATATTTGAATTAGTAATTCAACATTTTACTCTAATGATAAATTTTTTATTGTAATTATGGAGAATATAATGGGATGAAGTAATTAATTGGTGTGAAGGGACGGTGGGTGGTAGCTGTAGTGCAAGCAAGAATAAAGTTTAGATTCAATGACCGAATCTGTTGTGATCTTCTACAGTAGGACTATTTATTTATTTTTATTTTGTCTATGCAAAGTCATTTGTTAAAAATAATCATGTTTATAAATAAAATGTTAAAATAATCATTCTTAATGTAGATAGCTGCTATCACCCCACACATAATATATATAAATATGCACACACTAGTATTATACAGTTAGGCCAATCCAAATATCGAATGTAGCTAAATTAAAAAATGACATAAACCCAAATATGGCACAATAAAAAAATATTAATAAGTGAAGTTTTATTTGCAATATAGTTCTAATTAAATATAAAATTAGCTGACCCTTATTCTCATATGTAATGGGGTAAGCAGGAGGTAGGATAGTAGGCTGCCCCCAACGCCAGGTTGAGAGCAACTTCCGTGGGAGACCTCCGAATTATGAAATACCCTCTGTGGAACTTGATCCCACGACCTCAAGGTTAAGAACCTTGCGCTCTACCAACTAAGCTGGACGGTCATTTCATAGTTCTAATTAAATGTAAAATACTTTTAAATAAATTTAGGGTTTTTTTATAGAAAACCACTAGTTTTATTAAAAGTAGAAAATATTCAGAATTATAATGAAGATTTACAAGTATAACTGTAAACATAAACTATATTATAATTATGATATTTTCTTATAACCATTGATACAAAAACTAGACACCTAGGTCATACAAGGATCAAAGAAAGAAAAGGTTAAAAAAACTTAATCCATATGAAATGGATGAATTGAATCAAGAAACTTAGATTCATAATTAATCCGATTAAAGATTCCCTTTAATTTAGATTTAAAATGACGAAAGTCGGTTTTAATAGCTCTAAACTGGTATACGTTGAATCGTTGATCATGGAATCTAGTTTCTCATTTGGGCGGGGATTTTGTCTAACTTTTTAATCAGTCGAGAGAAAGTCAGCTACATTCCTTGGCGGTTAACCAACTAAACTATACACAAGGACGGCGGCCGGGAAACGGGAGACCATCTTTACATTATATTAATTAGTAATCAAATGCAAGCCCCCCCCCCCCCGTCGTCTATATAAGCAAATCAAATCCACATGCAACAAATATCATCTCAAACCCTATTGTCAATAACAGATACATACATACTCTCATTTCTTTCTCTGCATAAAATTAAGCTCAGATAATGGCTCACCTGAAATCTGCTGCTATGAAGGTACCCGTCATCGACCTTTTCGATGAGAATTTGAAGCTCGGTAGTGACGGTTGGATTTCGAAATGCAAGGACGTTCGAGCGGCGTTTGAGCAATACGGGTGCTTCATGGCTACGTATGACAAAGTTTCTTTACAACTTCAGGATGATGCCTTCCTCTCTTTGCAACAATTGTTCAATCTTCCTACAGAAATTAAGGTTCAGAACACTTCTGATAAACCTTATTTTGGTTACTTTAAACATCCTTCCATCCCTCTCTCTGAAAGCATGGGCATTGATAATCCCACCCTTCTTGAAGGGGTTCAGAGTTTCACCAATCTCATGTGGCCTAACGGGAACAAAACTTTCTGGTATGTGCAAATAATATATACAGTTTTCAAACCCTACATTTTGATCAGCTTGATATTTACTAACATTTTGTTTAAAAATGGTTGATTAGTGAAAGCATTCATGCGTACTCGAAGCTGGTATCGGAACTGGATCGAATGGTGAAAAGAATGGTCTTTGAAAGCTATGGTGTGGGGAAGTACTACGATTCCCACATTGAGTCAACTGATTATCTTCTTCGACTGATCAACTATAGGGTGCCTCATGAAGATGAACGTGAGATAGATGCATGTCCGGATCACACTGATAAGAGCTTCATGACCATACTTCATGATAATGAAGTTGCAGGTCTACAAATTAAAACAAAGGACGGTGATTGGATCGGCGTCGAGCCCTCCGGTACTACGTTCGTTGTCATGGCCGGCGATGCTTTGCTGGTTAGTGAAATAATCAATGAATTATTCAAATGTTGCAAACTCTTTCTTTTCTAAAAATTAATCAGATGGTTGGATTGTAATTGTATAGGCATGGAGCAATGGAAGAATTCACTCTCCAATCCATCGTGTGATCTCAACTGAAGCTGAAAAGGAAAGATATAGCCTTGCATTCTTCTCTTTTAGTGGGGAAACTATAGAAACGCCCAAGGAGCTTGTTGATGAAGATCATCCATTGCTGTATAAACCCTTTCATAACATGGACTTACTTCGACTCTATTCCCTTGATGATGTTCAGAAGTATGTCGACTTTATGTCCCAATCCAAATGCACAGCATGACCTTACATATGAAGAGAGATTTCCTTCATGGAATTAAATTGTTGCTTTGTTTGTTTAATCTGTAAAATTGTTGATGAATCAATTGTGAAGCTTATGAATCTGCAGCTGCGCTAGCCAAAAGTGGGTGATTTTCGTTTGGAGTGTGATGGTGATTTCTGATATGCGGCCTTGGAGCTTTTGGTTCGAGGAATTTGTTTGATTTGTATTGGGTTTGTGGAGTTCTGCAGAGGCTGCGTTGATTACTCTGCGTTTCAGTATTTGTTGTTTGACTATGACGTCTGTTTGTGTGATGTATTTGCTGATTCTGGTTTATACATTAATAAAATTTTCTTTTGTTGCGTAAAAGAAAACTAATATGTTATATTTTATTTTATGTGTATTTTTATTAGAATAGGATATGATAGATGTCTATTGCAAGAATTTTTTAATTTAAATTTCTATTTATAATATTAATATTTAAATTTATGGTTTTAAAAAATTTTAATATTTTATTTTATTATACTAATGAATAATTAATTTTAATGGGTAGATTTTAAATAAAACATCAGCAAAATTCATATATATTAACAATTCTATATACGGATAATAAATCGTATTTAGCCACAGATTCAATTTTACTAATTTAACCTGTCATTTTTTAGTTAATTGTCGAGTGCTTCTGTTAAATTAATAATTAAGTATATATTTAAAAAAATAATTAAATTTAATCAAATTGATCTAATATATTCCTTCTTTCATTTTTCTTCTTTCGTTTTTCCCTTTTCATTTTTTAGGTTTTGTTTTATGTATATGGTTTTTTTTTTTATTTTGTTTAATACATCTTTATGATGGATAATTTTGTCTTCTTTTATAACGTGTTTTTGTATCTTCTTTTAACATGTTTTTGTCTCCTTCATGATGGATAATTTTGTTTCTTTAACCAAATGCCAAACATCCAAATATAGGAAACAAGAACTATGATAGAAACAACAATGAAAAGAATGAAGTAGTCGAATGAAACTACTTGTGATTACTTGAACAGAATAAGGGTTTAGTAAACCTTTGTTTCTAACGAAGATAACATTGCCGTAATCGGTCTCGTGTTTTTAAAGCTCATAACAGCCAAGACATCGAATCAAGATTGAACAGCGATGTTCTTTCGGGTAAAACGATGAAGAAAGAAGTTGAGCATCGATGTTCTTAGATGATGTTTAGGAAGATAATAAACCAACAATTTCGTCTTACAATGATAATTTCCGACTAGATTAGAACAGAACACAATAAGTCAGCCAAGACAGACAATTCTAATTCTACATTAGTTTTCTGGATCATGAAACAACAGAGAAGCTGTTTCGGATAATGCCCAAAATTTTCTAATTTCTACTCTTCAATGCCTCTTCATGGAGGTACAACATCTGCACGATTTCGGATCCTGGCTGATCGCCTCAGCGGAGTTATCACCTCATCGTTCCTCCCAAATACCATGTCATTGCTCCCCAACTCTTTCCCTAAATTTTTCTTCTTGGTAGTCGGTGTCGATCTTTCAGATGAATTGGAGTTCACTGCGGAGAACTCTGAGGATCCTTGTTGATCCTTGCTGGTCAAATCCTTTCCTGAAAAATGAGAATAGCTGCTCACTCCATCTTTCATTCTGCTTTTTATAGCAGAACTCTTAAGTGATCTAGTTATTCCGCTGATCTCGAACTCAGCCAGCAACTCAACTGAAGGGGCCGGACTCTCCACAGCAAGAGTCAATGGCAAGGTGTTGGAAATGACTAGCCTTTTTGGCTCATCTCTTTCAACAGGAAGCGGTAAACTTGGCTTCTCCTTCACGACTGGTTCTGCCGAAAGCTTATCCACAAGAGAAGATTGATTTGATTCCATTCCCTTTCTGCTAATGTTAGAGCCGAGTACAAAAGATGCAACAATGGCTGCAAATGCTAAAACGCCAAATACAAGTTTGAGAAACATTTCAGTTCCTATTTGCTGGTTGTGCCCTTTCAGTGGATCCACTTGTTGAAATTTGAGAGCAAGGGATTTCCCCACTTCTCTAGCATACTGACTGCACTTCTGATTCGCATGATTAGGACTTGAACCATGTCAGCATCACTGTTTTCCTTGTGATTATCTTCATCTGCCTCCATTGGAACCTCCCTTATTTCCTCTGATGATTCTGTTCCTTGAGACAAAAGACTTGCCTGTTGATCAACTTGTAAGAATTCAATCTCTTCATCAGTTTGCAGTTGTTCAAAATCCCCAACCATTTCGTCATCAATTACATCCTGAGTTTCTTCGATCTCTTGCAACTCAATGTTCTCAGCAAATTCCTCAGAAGCTTCTTCAACCATCTCTTCAGATTCAACAATTGTATCCTCTAGCTCCAAGCTAACTACGTGTCCCATGTTAGCATTTTATGTCATTTCTTCCTCAGCTACCTCATCTACCATACTTTGGGTACTCAATAAACCCAACTGCTCTTGCTTTTCGTCAAAGAACTTATATCCAATCTCAAAACCTTCAGATATTCCAAAGTTTTGAAAACAAAGTGCAGGGGCCTCAAAAGCTGGAGCAGGGACTGGGGAATTTATGGAGGAAATATATGATGTAGTTAGTAATATCACAACGGACAAGAGGAAATACTTCAACATTCCTTTGAAACTCCATGCTTCTTCCTCCTCTACCTCTTCTTCCTCCAAAAGACTCTCACCTACGTCTCCGAATTCTTCATCTTCTTGTGAAGAAGAAGATGCCAAAGAAGAATGGTCACTAGAAACAGTGTCAACTCCATCAGACCTAATCTTCTTTGTCCTTCATTTCAAGGCGTAAAAAGATATCTTCTCGCCTATCAGGATTGTACCTCAGGAATTGAGGCCTCGGTGACAGGTAATTCTTCAATGGGTCATAAGGCTCTTAGGGATGAAGATTTGGGAAATTCTTCTGGAAGCTTTTGAAATGATTAAAAGTAGGAAATGTGAAGATATTTAATGAAAAAAAATAAATTAATCTTAGTCATATGTTTTCATTCGTCCAACGGTTTTAAATTTGTGTATGAAATATATTGAATAATTGTGATTTCAGTGTCACATAAATTAAACTATAAACTTTCACATTTAGAAGAAGAAGATAAAATAAAAAAATAATATGGATATGTTGTCAACAAAAATCAGTCCACATAAGTACATGACTGTCATTGACCATTCTATTTTTTTATTTAACGTTTGAGTGGTTAAATTAGAAGTAAATCAAAAGTTAAATAAATAAATTGAAATTTTTAAAATTTAGTGACTAAAATAGAATTTTAAAAAACTTGAGTGATCACATTTGGAATTTACCCTACTAATAATCTAATATGATGAAATGAGACCCACCAAAGCTAACCTGTGATGAAGTTAATAAAGTAAGCATTGAACTTTAGCTTGTGTCTTTACGGACACGTGTGTGTTAATGACCTCTTTGCTTGCTACACACCCAAAACAACTTACATCGTCATAGGTAATTTGATTTTTTCAGTTAGTTTTTGTGCTCCAAATCATTTGATGTCGTTCTTTCCTCAGATCCTTCTAAAAAGGATTTGTTTCTTTCCTAAAATACAAGAGATTGCTCTTTTAATATATTTTCTATTATTAAACTCCTCCAAAACAGACATTTTGGTTCTGTTATTGCAGTTGAAAGCAAGAATATGTCTTCACCTGAATGAACCCACCATTGCTTACATTGAAAACCAACATCTTTGCTTTTGATTTGATTTATATTTTCATAGCCACCAAACTCTTATCTACATTCACTGATTTGGTTATTACTTATTAAACCACACAAAAAACGTTCCTTTGATTTTGCAAGTTCTTTCTTTTTCTTGTTTTTTTGGATTATAAACTATTTTTTAGGTGGGAAAATGGGGAAGATTGCAGTTGGAATTGCGGTGGTATGTGGGGTGGCTGTGGCAGCGGCCGCAGCCGTGGTGGTTCATCGGAGAATGAAGAAATCTGGGAAATGGGTGAAAGTAATGGAGATAGTGAGAGATTTTGAAGAAAAATGCGCCACCCCGGTTTCCAGGCTGAAACAAGTGTCCGATGCCATGATCGTAGAGATGCATGCCGGCCTCGCCTCTGAAGGTGGCAGCAAACTCAAAATGCTCATCAGCTATGTCGACAATTTGCCCACTGGGTATTTTCGATCCCTTTCCTTCCTTTATAAAACATGAATACGTATGTATTTGTTGTTGATCGGATTCTATGCATTAAAGATCAATGTCCATTCATATATTGCTTGTGTTTATGTAAGGATTTAAGTGATATGTTAAACACGAATACGTATGTATCGATTTCGAATCACTAATGTCTTGTTAGGAACTAACCGGAGATCGATTATAATACGATTGTGTCCATTGTCCAATTGGGACTTTGGTTGAGATTGTAATGCATTGTTCTTATCCAAAATCAGGCGAGAGAAGGGATTGTTTTATGCTTTGGATCTTGGTGGAACTAATTTCCGTGTGTTACGACTGCAATTGGGAGGGAGGGGTCGTGGTATCCTCAATCAACAGTTTGTGGAGGTTTCGATTCCTCCGAATCTGATGTCAGGGACATCGAATGTAAGTACTTCAGCTTTTCAATAAATGATGGGAAACATGTTGATGCATAATAAGGAGGTCTCTCATGTCTGATAGGTGATCTTGTTGATTTCAGGCATTATTCGATTTTATTGTAGCAGAACTTGCTAAATTCGTATCCCAGGAAAGCTCGGATTATGAACCAAATCCTGGTAGGCCTAGGGAGCTTGGTTTTACCTTCTCGTTCCCTGTGATGCAAACATCCATTGCTTCCGGCACACTTCTTAAGTGGACAAAAGGCTTCTCCATAAACGATGCTGTCAGTTCTAATTGCTCACTCTCTCTTTTCATGCTTGTTATGGATTCATGTTTTGGGAAGCTTAAAAGTGTTCGATTTTTAAAAGAAATCATACGTATCACTTTAATGCACTACACTGCTCTTTGGGTTCCATTTTTATCCTTTAATGGTGAATTGGCAGGTTGGCCGAGATGTGGTAGCAGAATTGACTGAAGCCATGGAAAGACACGGCCTTGACATGCGTGTTTCAGCTTTGGTAGGCTTATGTTATGTACCTTTGTATACTCGAAACCGAAATGTGAATGTTTTTCATTGTTTTTACTCTACCAGGTCAATGATACTGTTGGGACACTAGCTGGAGCTCGGTTTGTTAACAATGATGCTGTTGCTGCTGTGATCCTTGGTACTGGATCAAATGCAGCATATGTTGAACGTGCAAATGCGATTCCAAAATGGCACGGTCCACTACCCAGATCTGGAGAGATGGTTAGCTGTTCTTTAATTGCTATTACTGAACATTCTATAGCTTCGAGATCATTTCTTTCTTTTTTGATGTTCATATAAGTTCATGACTGTTTATTTAGGTGTAGGATGAAAACTTAAGTCGGTATTGGTATTTCTCTGAAGGTTATTAATATGGAGTGGGGTAACTTCAAGTCAGCACATCTTCCATTATCAGAATATGATCTTGAAATGGATGCTGAGAGTTTAAACCCCGGTGAGCAGGTAAGTTCGTAACTTCGTGCTTCCATGGTTCGTTTAGAGTTTGCCTTCTCTTTAACAATAATCGTTCTCCTTATATTCCTTTGATTTGCCACAGATTTATGAGAAGGTATTGTCTGGTATGTATTTGGGAGAAATCGTCCGCAGGGTCCTATGTTGGATGGCTCAGGAAGCTGCATTTTTCGGTGACACGGTTCCACCGAAACTTAAAGTGCCATTCACATTGGGGTAATTTCTTCAGGCTTCTTTAAGGATTTGTTTCATCAGATGCAAATTTTGATTGAAAAATTTTCAGTTACAACTTTTGCATCAGATGCGAAAGAAAAGCACTATATCGCTCGAACTTAGGATTGCCAATCAGCACATCCTCTTATCCTTAGTGGCACGTCTGATTTCATTTTACACTATGTTACGAAAAAATATAGAGTTCAAGTAACATAGTTAATAATTGCCACCGGTTGTCTACTTTCGTATTGTGTTCAAGATCTGCTATCTCGTAACATTCAATCCTTGTTAACTTGCAGAACACCAGCCATTTCTGCCATGCATCAAGACACTTCCCCTGACCTCAAAGTGGTAGCTGATCGCTTTAAAGAACTTTTCGAGGTATACTTTAATTGTGAGAAAATTGTCCGAATCTTATTCTTGATCATTGAGACTTGGTTACTGAAGTGTATCATTGGCAAACTCTTGTTTATACGTTTTGTATTGCAGATATCAAGTACCTCCCTGCAGATGAGAAAAGTAATTGTCCAGATTTGCAACATTGTTGCGACACGCGGGGCACGTCTTGCAGCTGCCGGGATACTAAGTATTCTGAGGAAAATGGGAAGGGATACGATCAAGGACGGGGAGAAACAAAGGACAGTAGTAGGCATGGACGGCGGACTATACGAACACTATACGAAATACCGTAAGTGCTTGGAGAAGTGCCTAAACGAATTGCTCGGAGAAGAGGTGTCCGAAACCATTGCGCTTCAGCTTTCAACTGATGGTTCTGGCATTGGAGCTGCTATTCTTGCAGCTTCCCATTCACGGTATCACGGAAGGGATGACTAAGAACTGCTTCTGCAATTTCTTTTTTCTTTCCCAAAAGTCATTTTTGAGAAATTCTTGGCAAATTGTTATTCACCATTTGTGTTTCCTTCTGGTGGTTCAAAAGTGGCTAATGCTGCGCCACAGCAATAATTGCGTGCGCCTCGCACATAATTTATTTATTTTCTTTGATTTAGTATGATTACATCTTAAATTTGATACTCGTATCGATATATTTGGTCTAACATGTGTTATATTATAGTATTAAACTAAATTTAATTAGTGGAAACAATAAGGAAGTGCAATTAGAAGGTTCTAAACTGAATTATGAACGAAGATACATTTAATGAGGCAGTGTGACCTGCTCAATTTTGTTGGACATGGTTGAAATTGAGGTCAAAATATTGGTGTTATAAATATATGTACAAGTGGAGGAGACCTTAGTAAGAAAACGACATTGTTGATATTGGCAGAAGAGGACAGTGGTCCGTCCGACAAGTATAGAAGAATCAAACTTTGAATCATGTCATCTTGAAATATAGAAAGAAAATACTGTTGTGTATCTTCTCTTTTTCCCTTTGAAGGTGGACACCTATCTATGACATATACGTTTTGCATGAGTAAACAATAAATTTCAAAGTGTGCATTATTAATAAATATAATTGACCAAAGATTTCAAAGTGAGCTCGTGCACCCTAAACTAAGGTGGATCCACCACTGATAACGTCTAATATGTTTGAATTTTATAGATTAGATTTTTTATTCGTTCAATATAATCGAAAATTGAAACATATATACGATAACATGTGGTGTTTGAGATAGTTCATCCTATAACGAAGAGTTGTAAGGATAGGAGAGTAGGGAAGCTGAAGAAAAATGAAGATTATTGGGTAGAGATGAGAGTGTTATAGGTCACTCGCCCCTACCATTAGGGTATTTGTAAAAGAATTTATCCCACCCTAATTATTTCTAAACCTAAGCTTGAGGTGAATAAATAGTCAATTAAACCTAATTAACCCAAGTGATTTAATCTAAATATGAATCAAATACCAAGTGTTTTATGAAATATAAATGAAGGTAGAAAAGAACAACACAAGAGGATGGAGGCTTGGCATATTGATTACATTTTGACCAAGAGTAGAACTTTAAAAAATGAGTGGAGGCTGCCCATTTGCCTTCACTTGCCCTTCTCCCTTCCCTTTTGCTGGAGTCCAATGCCTAATGATATCCATGCTGAATTCCCACTCACCACTACATCTTCTATGTATTATAGCAGCTTTGAAACTTTTTAATTTCTACGCGGTTTTATACTATGGATGGCCATTTATAAATTTATTAAAATTTTAAAGATATTAAATTAAAAAATTTAAGAGTACGGAATTAATTATTAATAAAAAATATAATTATATATTAGTTTAAAACTTTATGCGATCCCATCCCAATATCATTCAATCATCCCTGATATACTACTCAAATCATATACCCTATTCATTCTAATTGAAATTAATATTTAATTTGAAAGGTATATAGTCCAAAAGAGAGGAGTTTAAATTTTCAAAAAAGCATAAACCAACCACAAATTTCAGTCTGTGCAAAGAGAATCTACGTACAAGGACCACTCGGAATGGTCGACCAAGTCTTCATGTATACGGGATAAGATGATAAATTAAAAGCAAATAACAAATCTCTTTTATCATCATTTTGCTTCAATTTTAACATGTTTTTTCATTGAATTATTTATAAATAATAAGATTCCAACTTTAATTTTATAAAATACTAGTAGTTACGTGAAATGTATATGTTAAGGTTCTTTCACTTTCTTCATTAATATAATAAAGTTTGTAGCAGGAGATCATTGTCCAAGCTCATTACTGTGGCTTTAACCTAATAAAAAAACCTAACTTCCCAAAACCCCACCATTACGTAACTTGTTTTCTCCCCAGGAGACAGCTGGGAAAACTATACTACATATATTTATATAATACTAACAGTAACATGTTATATAAAGAAGAGAAAAATATAAAAAGGAATGGGATAAACTCGCAAATACAAGAGAACACAGAGCCTGGAAAGCTTTCACCCTTTCAATGGGAACTCATCGAGCTTTTCTTTCTGCAAATCCCACCGCCGACGCCGGGTTCAGCGGAGCATACGGTGAAAACACAGCCCCATATATGTCCTATAGTTTTTCATACTATACGGCTTACATATGTAAATGGCACACAGGGTGAAGCCAGGCAGCGAAAGAAGGTAATAACTGTTATAAGCTTGCATGTTCTAACATGTTTGTAGTTTTATCCCTATTTTAATATCTTGATTTATTATTAAATTATCAGGAGCAGGAAAAAAGAATTTATGGGATTTATTTGGCTTCAATTTATTAAAATATTTGATGGTTTTTCTCTCTCTTTCTTTTGGTAGTATCACGTTGTATCATGCTTATGTTTGTTTTGATATTTAATTTAGGCTTGAAGTATCTGGTTTTGATATGGATCTGTTGATTTGGTCCTTCACAAAGACGAAGATTATGAACTGCATGTACATGCGAGAGAAACAAGCTATTACCAAATTGTTTTAATTATCAACAAGTATTCGATAGTGGTAACACGTCAAAACGACTTTGTTAAGAGAGATAACCTCGAAAAACGTATATAAAAAAAATAAGTTCAGAATTTAACTTATGGAATTCGAGGGCATAATTATTGACTGATTTTACGTACTACTTTAGACCCAAAAGGCATATGGCTAACCCAAGCTTAAGATGGTTTAAAAAAACTAGCAATTGGATAAGCTCATCCATGGTTGATTGCTGACTATTATGAGGATGAATTTACGTTGCATGTTTTTGATCAGTACATCCCTACGTCATAAATCTTGATCTTATTTTTAAAAGAAACGTCATAATTTTACTTTTAAAAATATTAAAAGGATGTCGTTTTTAAATAAAATGTCACGACTGTAGAATTTATGAAATTGTTTTAATTTCATAGTTGAATTTTTTATTTCATGAGAAACAATCGTAATATGATAAATTTTAATATTTTACAATTTCATTTATTATAAAATTTTAAAGATCTTATCTTAAAAGTAACGTAAACTAAGTAATGTAGAGTCTCCACATGTTTTGAGACGTGCCTACCTGTGATTATGAAGTCCCCAGTGACACAATCCTTAGAGATTCATGCATGGAGTACATTCAAGGGTGGAAATATGTCGATATTATTTTTATGTTGTGATATATTTTAATTATTTTTTATATTTTTTATGATATGTTCATATGATACTATTTAATAATTCAATTTTAATTAATGATCAAATTAGACTATTATATTTTTTAATAATATATTTGTTTCTTTTCTCATGTTTAATTACTTAAGCTTTGAAGAGCATATTGGAATGCGATCTGATGTCCTTTGTTTACCTTTACCTTGTAAAGAATTTTTTTTCTTTAAATGTCTAGTAAAACACAAAAAAAATATTTAATAGAAAATAAAATAATAGAGAAGTGGTTTTTCATCTCATACGTGAACGTCGATATCTAAAATTATTTAAAATTATTTTTTTAATTTAACCTTAAATTTTTTTATTTTATCCGTAAAAATCATTTTTAAAATAAATCATATTCTTATCCTCAATTATTATATTAAAATTATAACATAATGTTTAAAAATCAAGTGATAAACTCTCGACATCTCCAAAGGAATTAGAGGCGAGCAGTTGTATTATTAGGGCCCAAAGTTAGGCAGCTCTCAACGATAATGACCCTTCAACCCTCTTTGTTTCTCCTTTTTGGGAAGCACAATTTCCTCAAAAGATTCATTGAGCTTGGACTCCAAATTATTCTAACCATATCTGCTTGACAAGTGTTTTGGTGGATCAATGGTCGATAATGAAATGCCTCCATGGGGCCTAAAAGGGAATACAATTACCCTCTTGTGGGGTGTTTCCTCTCTCACTTTGAACCAAAAAGGGGAATCTTCTTTTTATTTTTGGCTCGCCTCCGGTCACTTTGAAGAAGAAAAAATTAATTAACATATTATATGTTATCAATTGATACCTCTACCCCTTGGCTAATCCAAACCCAGCAGGACGATTTCAATTTGGACACTATTTCTCGGTTCCCGTGAAGCATCAATGGAATCATACACAAAAAGGTAACGGTTTCAACTTTACAGCCCATCCTTCTCTCAATTTTCACCTGCTTCAAATTATTATTAATACATTATTTAATCGTGTCAGTTAATTTAATTTTTCTCAATAATAATTGCTTATTCAATTTAATTAATGCCCAAAATAAGAACAATTGTGGGGTTTTTACCATCCCGAGATATGAAGTACCAAACACAAAATATACATAATTACATATATCAAGCATTGTTACGCACCAAATGCCATTGACGTTTAAGCTACGGGGGAAACACATCAAAACTTACATATAAAACGACTTATATATATATATATATATATATACTGTTGACCACAACAAGTTACATAGCGAAATGGGGCAGAAAATTTGTCAAAACAGTATAATAAACATGATTCAAAGGTCTCTTTCTTTTCCAACATTGATGGAGAAAAGAAAACGGTGTCCAAATGATTCAACCCTTCATCTTCCCTTGCTTGTTGCTCCCAACTGTAAAACAACAACAAACATCAATGTTGGCCTCATGAACAATGAAAAAGAAACAATAATTAACCATCACTCACGGCTAAGTGTAGATAGCTCGGAGCTCTTCAATGCGCGCAGCCTCTTCACCGTCGACACAAACATACTGCAAATCCAATACAAAAACCAGATAGTGCAACAGCATACTATTAAATAAACAAACTCAAAAAGAACCGGTTTCTTGTCGTATCTTGATAATGCATACATTAGGAAAGGATATGCCAAGATTAAAGAAAGCATGCATGATTTTGTTTAGGATAGAAGGAATCTAATGCTGTTTTTCCGGGGGAAACTAGAAGACAAAAGATTAAAAAAAGGGGTATTCTACTACTATATTCTCAGTCACTGATATTGGGAATATAATAAGGTATAGTATAATCTCAAATTGCATGATCAACAGTGATGAAAGATGCTTACTGCCATGGGACATCCCCAACAAGCATACTGTCTCCTTCATCATCCTCATAAACAAGCGTATATTCCCCACTCCCGTCCAATTCGCCCGAAATCGCTTTCTCTCTCTCTTGCTTGTTCACCATTCCACCAGCAGAGGAATCTCTTTGAGCTACACGGTTCGAAGAAAAAGACAAACGGATGAGATAAAAACCATATCTGTCAACTAAGATCACATTAGGATAGCCTAAGTGCTTAATTGCAATAAGAACAAGCAGATGAGTCCAAAGCCTTGGCCCTTGAAATATGCAAATCCGTCCCCCACTTCATCACCTAAACAGTTGAAAACTAACACTGATGTGAACGGATATGTCACTATTGCCATTACAAAAGCTTCTAATACTATGAAACCTGATAAGTTTATGATGTAGATGCCATATTAAACAAAGAACAAAACAAAATTTTCATGGCCGATTCAACTAATACATGTGAAAATAAATTTACCAGCAAGGAGGCCTCTGAAGAGTTCATCCACAGCAGTAGACAACTTTTCATAGCTATCATAGGCTTTGAGATCCACTTTCCTTCCTATAGGAACACCATCCATGTTGATTTTCACAAACAGGGTTTTGCCATTAGGTTCAGCTCCTGGTTTTTCGTTAGCCACCTTGTGAGGAGGGTCCACACTTGGTGATTCAGAAGCTAGTTTTGAACAACTGTTACTTGCAAGATTCTTCCTTATGGAACGAATCGGAGGCCAACCCACAACTGATCCAGGAGCAGTTCTGGTTTTCATGAACATAATTAGAACAAAAAAAAGTAACATGTGAAAGCCAAAATCAGATTCAGGTTTAAACCTGAGAAACATAAAAGAACTGAATCAAAAAACAAGTGAAAAGAACAACATGCATGGGGTGATGGACCACACAAACATCAAGCTATGTAAAAACACACTTGTGACTTGTAGTGAATATCCTCTGTCAAAAAATCAAAAGGCAAATTTTTTTTAAAGATATGCAGAGAAACGGAGAGAGAGAGAGAGAGAGGAGAGAGAGAGAGAGATGCACTGGAGTACCTTTTCTGAGAAGTATTGAGAGGCACAGCTGTATTTGCAGGAGTTTTAAATGCTTTTCTCTCAGCATCCTGCAGGTCTAACGCTGTGCTATGGCAGCAGGGCTGTGAAGATTCCTTTGCCATAACAGGCGAGCTATGTGGTGGGCCAGTTGTTGATGAGAACTGGTGAAATGAAGAAGTCTTTGTCTGCTGTTGGTGGTGGTTTTGGTCCATGGAGTGGACAAAACTGACCCAACAGGGTGATCCTCCGGACATGGAACTTGTGTGTTTGTTTTCCATTGCTCTTGAAGAAGGGAAGTAGCCGAGTGAGAGTAAAGAGTCATCGGACCAGTTGTCTTCACCTGGGGACGAAGACCAAGCCTCAGTTCCAGCTTCTCTCTGGTGAAGATCCATCTTCCGTCTTCTTCACATGATGCCACTCTCTCTCTTGTGGAATCAGATCAAGAAGTTGAGGACATGACGATTCAACATTCTTTGGAAGCCACTCGCCATTGACTTATCCAAATAGATCACCTTTCCTCGATAACTTTGAAGAACAAGAAGCAGCAACAAACTGAAAACGTACATATAAAAGCTACAAGTCAAAGACATGCAAATGGAATAAACGAAGATGGGAAGTTAATGTATACACCTTAAAGGAGTTACAAGAGCTCAAGACAACGAAGACCCACATCACGAACCAAACGAAACTTTGGTTTTAACAAAGAAATACCCTGAGAGGAAGAGGTGAAGAAGCTAGCTAACAATGCAGAACTGTGGAGTTTAGAGAGCCTCCTCTCAACCAATAAATTTTAATATATTTAAAAAATCACAACTTTGAAATAGGAAAACTCCACCGAGATGAGAGGTATACTCCCAAAAGAACAAGAGTTTTTTGACAAAAGTTATGGAGTGTTGTGTCTTTTAGTGGGTTGTTCTTGCCCTTATCTTGTAGAACTGGATATATAGGCAGGTGATTCTTTAGCTGCGGGAGAATAATTTTCACTATTTTATATGATATGCAATAATAATTAGGAATGTGAAATGAGGTAATAGTTCAGATTTCAATCGTACCTTATCAGATCATGTCAAATCGATATAGATCGTGTTAAATTAATTAGTTGTTCGACTCGAATTAGGTCGGGTTTGAGTTATTTTTAGATTGATTTAACATCAAATTCAGTTCGAGTTCGGATTAGGTTAATTTTAGTTTGGATCGATATTAGTTAGGTCAAAACGGTTCAGGTCCGAAACAGTTAAATACCAGGTTAATTTAGGTTCGGATAGACTTCAGTCGAATCTCGTTCAGATCGTGTCACATCATTTCTGGTTAATTTTTTTTTTATGAACGACAAATTGTAATTTGTAATTGTACATGATTTGGAGTAAATTACGAAAAAACATATGGGTCAATTTTAATAAAATAATTTTAAAGACTATATTGAATAAACATGAAATTAAACAATAAATTAAATAAATTAAACAATACGAAAGGATGAGGATCAAATTGAAATAATTATAAAATGTTAAGTTGAAATTTATATAAAATGGACAAAATTGAATCTATTTAAAATACGGTGAAAAAAGTTAAGAGTTTGGAGATTATGACATAATTTATAGAGTTTGAAATGAAATTTATTATTGATTTTTTGGGTTTGAAGTAAATTATAAAAATATAAATAAGTATGGGTCAATTTCATATACAATATAATTTTAAGGACTAAATTGAATAAATATGAAATTAAGTTAATATTTAAATAAATTAAACAATATATAGGGATCAAATCGAATAATTTTAACATGTGAAGCTAAAATTAATATAAAAATGAAGTGGATTGCATTCATTTCAAAGTTTAGGAACAAAAGTTTTAAGTTTTGAATTTTATAATATAATTTTAAGGACTAAATTGATTAAACATGAAATTAGAAACTATAATTTAAATAAAAAACAACATTCAAGGATCAAACTAAAAGAACTATAATATAATATATATATATATATATCATGATTAATGATATGTACATATATGATGTATGTACATAAGTATGAATATAAGTTTATATATATACTTATCATTGATCATTATGTAAGTACATAAATAAATATAAGTTTAATATATTTTTGTTATCATTGATCAATAATTTGCGTGCGTGCGTGCGTGCGTGCGTGCGTGCGTGTGTGATACTTATAAAACTCATTTGTAAGCCCAATATACAATTAAGTATATATAAGTCCATTTATTAATATAAGCCCATTAGTATTACAAAATACATAACTCAATCTACTTTTATATATATATGCTTCTCATTTATCAATGATATATATACATATATGATGTATGTACATAAGTATGAATATAAGTTTAATATATATATATACACTTATCATTGATCATTGATGTATGTACATATGTATGATGTATATATAAAAGTATATCATTAAACATAAGTAACTAAAATAAAAGATTTTAAATTAACATTCACATTTCATGACAAGAATTAGAATGTGGAGTGAAAAATCAATAAGAGATTTACAATTAATCCATAACTGAAGTGAAAAAATCAAAAAACAAATAACAAAATAGAAAATCATTGATGTTGGAGTGCCGGCCTAATTAACCCAAAACTTTATTGACCCTAAAACCAATCCCACCAATTACTTAAATTCCCAAAAAATAAAATTTCCATCCAAAAATTAATTTTCCCTACAAAAAAAAAACACTATTCCTTTAATAAATTTCCCTAAAAACAATAATCCTTTTAAAATTTTAATTTTCAATCTCTAATAAATTCATCTTATATATTTTTAAAATTTAAAAAATAAATTTAAACTATTAATTAATTATTACATAAAAATAAATTAAACTTTAATATTTAAATTAATTTTATGTAATCTAATAAAATCATGTTCAATAAATAAATAATTTAATAAAATTAAATAATATATTATTAAAATTTATAATATAAAGATTATAATTAATATAGAAAGTAAATTATTAATTTAATTATCGTAACTAACAATTTGTTTATCTTTAAATTAATCATATTAATATCATAATTATTATAAATTCAAAATCTCACAACTTCATCAATTGTAACTTGTAAGTCAATTAAATATCAAATCAGTTCAATAACAAGCTGGATATTTACTGGTTGAGTCAATTACAAGTCATGTCATAGTAGTAGGTGATAACAAGTGGGTAATACCAGTTATTATTAGGTTAATCTCGAGTTAGAGTTCATTCAGTCATTTGCAGGTCGGGTTCGTTCTTATATCATTAATCGGGTGTCATTCTCAAATCGGGTGCAGGTCAGTTTAAATCCACAATTTTTTGTCCAACTTAGGTTCAGTGTAACACCAGCTCGGATTCGAACGGTTTCGGATCATCACCACTCATATCACAAACTATCTGAATCGAGTTATATAGTCAATTTTAATTCGGATCAACTTTTTACTCCTTAATAATAATTGATGAATACAAATCAATGTTAATTAAAAACAATGTTCAATCCCTTAAAATGCACTAATCTCACTACGGTATATTTTCTAAGAGTGGAGCGATAGTTAATATGGTTGTTTGTATGTTCAAATGATGTCAGGTCAATTGAAATAAATATTACATCAATATTTTATTATTTTTAACAGTAAATATTATAAATTGTAATATAAATAATATTATACACATTAATAAAAAATATTCAAATATAATAATGATTTATGTATTTTTTATTTAAAAAT